TAAGAGCACGGAATTACAAGCAACAGGCCGATACTTGCGAGATTTCTTTTAGGAATTGGCGTTATTCTGGCTGACCTCCAGATGTCGGAGATGGCACCGGTCGTGAGACACTTGCTGAAAATATCAGTCAAGGGCCAAGTAAGGGAATCTGCGCATTGCTCCAAAACTATGGGTAATAAGCCTTCAGAGCCACAAGCTTTATTTGAAGTTATCTATTGACGTCAAGTTGGTCAAAAATTAGCTTTTCTTTTGTTCATGTTTTTCACTGGGATTGGCATTACTGTACTCGTTTTGCAGTCCAACTAGTAGTTATTTTTCTTCCTTCCGGAATGTTACTCCGTCCATACTCATCGCCTGATGAATTACGATTTAGCCTGGAACTGATGCAGCTATCTTTGTTTTTTGGTGGTACTCGTTCAAAGGAGAGTCGATGGACGTGACAAAGTATATGCTGGAAAAGCAATAATCTGTTGAAACCGTTGTGAAACAATTCCATGCACTATGATCGATCAAACTGTTTCATCTTGATAGGAAATAAATTATTTAATTATCCGTCAGTCCGCTTGCAGCTGTACAACTGATTGTTGGCGACCTCAAAGAATGGTTGAACACCTTCCAATGTGGTTAGAGCGGGCGGTTTAGTGAAGAGATGAAATGAACCAAGGGATGAAAAAGAAAACGCGTCATGTTCATCGCCAAGCACCTTACGGTGACCAGTCGCACGGTCGACCCGGAGAATTCGTACAAGGTTTCATCACACAAACGGAACCGGAATATTCTGGCCGTTAGGGCAGTGTTACTGACAGGGCAGAATCGTCCCGTCTTGAGGGCACAGAAACAACTGACGCAATCGGTAAGATTATTTTGGTCCTGATTGCGTGATATTCACCGATCACCACTAAGCTGTGTTTGTTACTCGGTCTACTGAACATGTGAATTTGTGATTTTTATGCCCATATTCCGTTGCGACTGACGGGAGCAATCAAAATGTTAATGTATCGGAACTTGCGTCTCCCCTCTGTGTTGATGAAGTGATTAAAACAGACTGGGTGTTTCAAACCCATTGGCTGCGCATGCACCAAGCTTGCGTTCTGTGTGCTTATCTTTCAGTCCGGATGGACCACATTGCTTCCAGTGATAGAGCTGACGGTATGTCTTGTGAAAAGATGCTGTAATTTGCAATCATAAGGTGAAAATTCCAGCAGAAGGTTTTCTGTTCAGGAACCTCAAAGAAGCATGTGTACGAGTAGAAAGCATATGGACGCAGTATTGCGCAATAGAATACAAAGTATGGATACGATATTAGATCTTGCCACGGATAGTGAAGAACAGGGTTTGTGCAAATAGAGTATCATGGAAGGAAAGCTATGCGTGAAAATATAGACAAACGGAAAACTAACCGCCAATTCCTCAAGCAGTGGACCCTTCTGTTTATCACTAAGAGTGTTGGATTGGATAGCTAAATTGTGAAGCTGTAAGATAACTTGGTGTGCCGAATGACCTTTGAAAAGCAAATCCTGAAATGATAATGACAAGTTAATATGGATGATAACTTAGGGCAATGCAGAGGAACAAATGGACATCTAATCGAAGGAGAACAATCGCAGTATGCAAACGAGAAGAAGGAGCTACGAGATAATGGGAGAATAGTGGTGAGGTGATTACGACGTGTTTGAGAAAATAATGAAATCCCTTCACTAGGTTAAAGACCAAAGGGAATGCGCAGATGTCAGGATATCAGAAATACATGCCAACAAGTATTATGCATTATGGTTCAGTGTGAAAGCCGGACTGCTTCCGTCACAGCAAATTACCAGGATTGCGCGAATCAATTAGAACATGATTCAGGTGTTAAGCAAATAAAACTGTGATTACTTATGAGTAGAAGGATTTTGGTGAGTATTTTAGTTCGTCGCAATCAGCCGACAATTCAGATAAGTCAACTACCTATGCGGAAGAGCACTCTCTTCCGGATAGGTAGTTGACTTATCTGAATTGTCGGCTGATTGCGACGAACAAAAACTGTGTTTAGTTGGGAATCTTTCAGGCGGCGTTGGCCTCATGGTGAAGATCTGTTCGAATGCGGAAATTACGTCATAATGTAATTACGTCATTCTCATGAATTTTATCTGCTTATCTATGTTACTAAGTGTGGACCCTACTTATTGCGTGTTTTGTTCTGCCTGTATCGCGTAGGGACTGACGAGGGCAATCGAAATGTTAACATATCGCAACCCATGTCTTCTTACTGTGTTAGTAAAAAAATGTGTCGAACATAATCAGCGACAACCAAATGAACACAAGAAGTACAGTGGGTGAGAGAAATTGGTGGCTAGAGTCTCTCGACGGCGTTGTACTTTTAAGGCACCGCATAGTCAGGCCTAAGAATCACACAAGACTGAACTAAAGGAGAGGTCTTACAGAAAATTTGGCGTACCTTACTTTGCACTTGTGAGTAGTACAGTGTAAACATTATTTCCACGTACATCATATTTCGATTATATTAGACGAGCTCCTGGACAATAGCAAGTGCATCTAAATCATACGGCAGCAGAATAAATCAGAACGCTCTGTTATCATTTTTGAAAAAAGTAATATTTGTCCGCCTCCGTTATCACAAAGGCAATTGAACAGGTTAGCTTACAACTTGCTAATCGACAGCCAGACAGACTTTTGATTACGAACTGCGCAATGAGTGGGCACTTGTGGGTGACAGAATGGTTCAGACAAAAAAGGTCAAGGTCAGTCCGCGGACACTGATGCGTGGTGGGAGGGGACACACCGTACGAAGTAAACGCCATACGCCTACGCATTTACCACACGCACATGCACACGGAAAGCGAATGTGCTGTATCGTCAAACGTCCGTGGAGCCACAAATTGGAGTAATTGTGGGTCAGGAGAATTTCACATATCGCAAAATCCAGCTGCATACACATCTTACTTCAGCAAATGTATCGTTCGGTGACGATTGCACGGCAAACATTCATATGGTCAGGCTACAGAGGTTACATTAATAATGACTTAATAGCAAAATGGTCAATTTACAGCTTACAGAGGTGGTCAATATAAATTGGTCGGCCGGTGGCCGAGTGGTCTACGCACCGTGTAGTGGTGTGCGCCCTCGCGGTCTACTCAGCCCGCAGGCGATTGGTGGTGGTCGCGCGGCAGCGAAGCGCCTTTGTGACGTACAGCTGACACATTTTTTTATATTTCGATAGGGTTTGCGAAATGAACGTTCAAGCCATGTGAAAACGGCCAACTAAGAGAGTTGGTCAGGACATAAAGGTATCTCTATGATTTACTATGATTTGTTTACTATTTACTACGATTGCTTTTCACGATTTTAGGATTGATGTGAACAGTGTCTCCGACTATCTGATCCAGGCCTTAGTGACATCGAAGACGTCCTTAGGGTCACTGTTGGTGCTGCCTGGATGACAGAGAACATTTATGGTACCGCGGTCACCGGAATAGGACCCGGTACACAGCAGCAAGTGAGACTTCTAAATCCTATGTATTGATCAGCAACTTAGATGGTGAGCAAGTAAAAGAGACACAAAGAGAACTGCATCAGCATCTAGCATTTCAGCAGCCGGAAGTACGGGTATGCTTCAATCGAGCGCCAAATAAATAAATATTTATTCTCGACTATGGAAACCTAACGACGCAAATAAGGTCGTATCAGAGTCGAAACACGGGATCCACCGCGTAAGACTGCACCGGTTCCATCTGATCAACCAGTGAAAGGCTTACGCAGCACCACCGACTCGTTTAAGCTGCAGAACGAATAGTTCCCTTTCCAATTCGCGAACACGAATATGAAACGGAAACTTCGATAAGACTCCTTACACATGTGCACACTTTAAGCTACGGGTCAGAGGTGTCAAAGAGGTAAATAGGCTTTCCAAAGTTGGAAGACCAAGTGCCATGAGTAGGATAACCCTGTCACTGGGTAAATGAGAAAAACAAATAAGGGAGGAAATGACACAAGATGTGATACTTGGGCAGATGATCATGGAACACAAGAGCAGGTACGTAGGCGTTAGAAACCGTTATCAAAAGAGGGTGCAGCTGATTCCAAATCATATGATACAATCTTATGCTACTGCTTGGAGTGGTGTGTATTTCATGTTGTGAACGTTCTTAACTCAATAGGGTTCGATGGAAAAATGATACAAAAGTATGACTAGTGCCGACAGCACTGACAGAGGATAAATCTCATTTGTAACTGAAATCACTGTGCATTAGTGTGGAAGATACTTTCAAGTAAAAAGACAGTTCAATCTCTTGAAGTAAATAACACAAGCCTAATAGAAAACCGATTTGTATTCTAAGACTTTGGAAATTATAAAGATATTTCATCACCTTGACCTTGCTCTGCATCTCGTCGAACCTTCCCTTTCGGGCAACTTCCACAAGATCCAAAAGTAACTGGGTAGGAATGACAGAAGCCACTTCATCCAAATGTTCCTTGCTTATACGCACTCCATCGGAGGGATGATATAATTGATATGCGCTTTGCAGCATCGTTATACCCCGACGCAGATCACCGCCAGATAATAACAACGTATAATCCAGAACCTGAGAATAGATGGCCGAGAGGAAAATAATGATTGCATTGAAACGAACCGACAATTTATGTGATATATTGGATTCGGAGGGAACATACACCATCTAACAAAGAACTATGAGACCGGAGTGAAAAACTGGACGTTTCAGAAATGACAAAGTTGTAGTAGAGCATTTGTCTAAATTCAGGTTGCAATAAAGTAGACGAACGTTACGAGCAGAATGGATTCGATAAACACTGATGGGCAGTAGTTTCGTTCCCTTTCCGGGACATCATTCCCACATCACGAACGTCATCCGGTCCGAAGTGTTCCTTTGATCCTTTCCTTCGATGGTCAACCCAGTGAACAAAACCATAAATTAAGAGTCACATTTACAAGCTCACTAAACATGACTGCTTGCACATACACACCCTTCTACATGTCAACATACACACATAAATTCCTAAGCTACTGGTTAAATTTTAAATATTTATGTCTGTGTTAGCTACAATGTAGGGTGTTTACGTGTCTATCACCTATTACCTCGTCCATCTGGCTTCAGGAGACAATTGGTCGTTGCTGGAGGGGACGGGGTGCATGGTCCTTGTGGTCGTGCTACGCTCAAAGAGCGGTTCCATACAGTCAGTGTGGAGCGAACTACGGTCCAGCCACCGCCTTGAGTGCACTTGATTCCCCAAATACAGCGTGCTTCTGTTTGCCTGTGAAGGAGTGTGGGCCGGCTCCGTTGATGAAACGTGGCTCCCATCCGCATGCCTCCCGGTCTTATTCCTTCGGGTTTACACTGGATATGGGGTGTGTGGATGGAGCTGTGGGTGGTGCAGCACAAGCCATCCATGATCCCTCTGTAGGCGCAGACGTCCTGTGGCTGGCCACAGTGACAGGCAAATCCGAAACCGGATGCCGCCAACCATTACCTACCATGTTATACCTTTGATAGTGTGCGTTGCACTGAAAATAATAAACTATTTTTTATTCATAAAGCGTGCTTGACTGGTTGGATACGCCTTCCACTTCTCAGGGTCAGTTATTCACATTCTATTCAGCTACGTCGTCCTACAGAGGTAAACCTCCAATTTCATGCTGGAAAGAAGGACTGACCGATGCTTTCATCCTAACTCTATAGTTTCGCTTCATGAGCCGCTCTTCTCGCCAGTCTCATGTGACTACCCTAAGCAATATCTGACATTTCTGGGCATCATTAACCAGTGCAATCCATCATAGAGCGCTATAATAATAATATGCCTATTTACAATAACTAGCACTCATGGTTCCATCATCGTTTAATCATCATAGAACCACGCGTCCGAAGTTTCCACGCACAATCTTGAGCTAAAACGTTTCTCTCTCCTTTTCCATGATCACGATAAGGTTGAAAAAATAAATAAACTTATTTATGGACAATGTGGGACACGATCCAGAAAACACAATCGCTGCGCAAAACAAACGTGAAAAATGTAAACGCCGTTCAGAAGAGAAGAGCACACAGCTGATAACAGCGCCTGAAAATACCGGGCCAGTCTGACACATGTGACCCACCAGTCCTGAAGAAGACGTTGAAGCTACTGATCAAAGGGGCGGGTTGAAAACTCCAAACTGTATGCACTAATCCGTTGTTCCATTTAAATACCGCCGCAAAAATGAATAAAATATCCGTGCATTGTGACCTGACGTCTCATGGGAACATCCTCTCGTTGAACTGGAAAATGGCAAGTTCCTTCCTTTGATTAGGAATTAATAATGGGAATGAGTATGAGGTAGAAAGCAAAGAAAAACAGAAGGAAAAATAGCCCAGGGAATAGTGAGTAAACTTAATCCGGATGGAGCAGCAATGATTGCGCGAGCGCGCCATGTCCGAGAAGGTCTCCAACCACAGACGTAGACCATCCTGAGGACCCTACAACGAAGAGGACACGCACCAATCCTAGCGTTTTTCGGTTGAATTCTTCATTCCTTTATGCCATTTCATCAACAGGCCACTCCGCGGTTTCGCTCATTGGCGATGATACATTACATTGGTGAAAGTCTGTGAAGAAGGAATGACGTAAGCTGGAAGCCGTTAATTTGGAAGTGATCAACCAAACCGACGGAAAACGCGCTGGAGCTGTGTGATCATTATTCTCGTTGTGGTGTTCGGTACCATAACAGTTTCCTGCCAGTTGAGTGTATGCGTCCACAGCAGCCCGTTTGTTGGGGGCTTCCGAGGGGGCCCACCTAGTATAGCTCAATGGGTCGACGAGATACGCAAACTGTCCCAGTACGTTAAGGCCGAGTCTCGTTGCGACGTTGCAATAACCATGAAAGCTTCCTCAAGCTGAACTATACAATGACCATGTTTTTAGCTGAAAAGATGAACCGCAAAATTCATAGCCAGTGAGAACAATAAACAGTTGGTTGATAAGTCCAGCAGTACGTGGGACGCATTGCACCGACGCTTCGGTGCCACGAGACCACCACCACTATCATTAATGGCGCGCGCGAGTTAGGAATACTGCGAGGTCGCCCGCGCGCGCATGAACAGATTCCAACCGGTGGTACCGATGCGCATAGAAACCCCAAAGCGATAGATAATGCGTGTCCTACTGTGTGTTAGCAACAACGATGGAATCCTTATCTAATTTGGGTAAGATGATAATAATTGTGAATAACCATTTGTTTCTAGTGCGGGAATAGGCTCTCACGCAACCGATGGATATGCATAATATTATTGATACTATTATTTCGAAAGGACAAAACCCTGTGTTTATCTGCCTAATCAGTATATATATATATATATATATATATATATATATATATATATATATATGCTTCCAAAAGTTGCAAAGCAGCAGTTTAATCGATTTCAGATTATCACTTGTGAAATTGGTGTTTACATAAGTCACCTGACGCAACAGCTCTCTAGTCAGTTTCGAATACCAACAAACGCGTTTCAAGTGCCATGATATGTCGGTCAGTCGTGAATTATTTTCAGCAGCAAACCAGGATGACGTCAGAGGCAGCAGCAACTTGTGGATTGAACGGATCGCTGTCGATTATCAACTTGGAACACAGTAGGTTGAAAAAACCGCGAAAATAAAGTTCCACTAAGTAGACACCTTATCGAAAAGTGGGTAGCGATGCTGCATATTCTGTGGAGCAGGCTGGTAATTATTATGGCGATGGACTTCCTTGTGAGTGTAGCGTATTGTACTACTGACGCTAGTGTTGTTTCTTGGAAATACACAAAATTGAGTGCCACCAGTCCCTAATTTGCTGGTAAATGTATGGGATGCTTCTTCGATGGTCTGTACTGGGCTAAACAAACTGTGATGGACCAGACAGTGTACAAATGGATAAATAGATGAAGGCACACTGGTTAAGCCGACCCATGCGGTTATGTCTGAGGTTGAGGAGAGGCTGACACCCAGTTGTGATCTGGTGTCGGGTAAAATAAGGGTCACAGTTCATTTCAGTCAAAATACAAGTCGATGTACACTACTTTTGGATTGGAGGTAAGATGTAGGTTACGAACCGAACAGCTGTCACAGACGAAAATCTGGACCGTTCAAAATTCCGAATGACCATATCAATATAAGCAGCGAATTGCCAGATGGATATTCGTTAGATTGGAATCGGTAACTGATATTGGACAGATGGAAATGTCCACTAAGGAGTTAGTTGATACCTAATCATGTGTCCTTTGACAAACATGGTCTGTGCAACGTCCAGACTGTAGCAAAGCAAATTATCTCAGAAATGGCAGGACACGTGGAGCGCCATTGATCTGTGTCAGCTCAAAGCCGAAAATATCGATGTAGTCTCGCAACCGGTCACCCCTGGGTGAAATGAAATCTACTGATGAAGTTCCGATCAACCCAGTCAATGCGTATGCCTGTAGCGCTTTTGAGAGTGTTCAAGTTCGTACCTTAAAGTGCTGTCTCACTGTTGCGTCTCCTCAAAATAAGGCTGATGTTTGGGTGAGAAATCGGCAAGGTCTGGGATCAGCTTCATGATGAGTTCTCGTGAAAACAGCCTAGACACTCTATCGCCAGCTGTTGCAAGGTAGCGTCGAGCTTTTGCCCTATTTATCACTCAATGGAGACTCGACCTGAGTCAGTTGGTGACAAAACAGTAACAAGTCGGTCCACTTTGTTGAGCGACGTAACGGTCTACAGATGAAGAGCGGAGAAATCAAAAGAGATGATGCAGCGCCTCAGAACGTGTGACAGGTGACGTGTTCCAAAGTCTCCAGAGTGCACGAACACAATGTACGTAGGAAGTTGCAAGCCTCTTGATGCATAAACCATTGATCTTTGCGTAATTTTTGTTAACTGCACCATGTGACATCCTCCGCCGCATTCGGAGGCACCATGTGGATCCCAAATGTTCGCTTCGCTTCGAGTAAGACGGGGACCAACTTCAACATCTTCTGTAAACCACGGTCTGATGTCCACGTCTGCATGTGTTTCTCCTCGCTATTTTCCATGGCCTGCACCAAAAGGGTCAAAAACTGCCAAGGTTGTCGATAAAGCATAGTTATAGATGCAGAAGTATATCAAGTGGACCACCTGCCTATATAAATGTTTGCAAGCACAGCATGAAAAAGCCAATTGTTCAAGCTGTTAAATAACTGCGCACAGTGATTGGTAAGAAAGAACCCTATCCCCGTCCCATATGAACAGGCTAAAGTTGTGTTACAATGTTTTGATCAAAATATGGCACAGTTACTGTGTTTGCTCGCTGACACCATTAAAGTCAGTCTTGCGTCGCTTGGCTGTTGGATGAAGTGAAATAATGCAAAACAAGTACTTACTGGGTTACCGAGTTAAATGAAAACCATCATGAAAAGATGGTCGCATTTTAGCACATCAGTAGCGTGGTGCTGAGAAAAAATGTGACTAACTAGCCTACATTAGCATGATATATTACATCTGGAGAGTAGACTCACGGAATAAAACACAAAGAGAAAAACATAACAATACGAGGTGTGATTTCCACCAAATCCACTTACGTCATCCTCCACAAATAGTCCTTCCGCGTCGCATACGTAGCGCAAACGCGCGCGAGAAACATCGTTATCCAGTGGACGAAAACGGAACTTGGCACATCGGCTCGTTATGGGGTCAATAATGCGGGTTACGTAGTTGCAAGTAAGGCAGAACCGTGTGGTTCGGGTCTCTGTTTCCATGGTACGCCGGAGGGCAGCCTGAGCGAGGCATAAACAACAAAACACTGAAAAAACAGGCACCATGAAAACATTTCATTTACACTAGACGAGAGTAAAGATGCGCAGCAGGCAGCATCCACGTGATACGTTGCTGTTGTCTGACAATTTAAACAGTCATCGGAATTGAGTGACTTCTGCTCAGAAGCGCTCGGCGGCTTCACTACACTGGTAAACAAATTACCAACGATAAAAAGATGCGGTCTAAAAAATATAACTAAGAACGCGAGCCTGTAACCTCATCTCGCGCAGATAAACAATTCATCTCATCATTTCATATCAGGTAAAACGTACGAAGTACGAAAATGTTCAAGGATAGTCGGAGGTGGTGGGAGCACACTCAGCATTTACACAGGGTAGTAAGGCATTAAACGAGCAAGAGAAAAACTATAAGCGAAACAGATGGCCCATTGTTACCGAATGAAGACGGTATGAAAGAAAACTATACTTTTATGCGGTACCTTTTGAGGAAATTGAAGGTGTGCCCAGGCGACGGGCAGTAACTAGCAACTAAGCTGGCTCGTAATGTTAGAAACTGATCTGCACATGAAAGAAGCCGTACCTCTCGTAGCCAGCTACACTGCGCGAGAAGGTGGCGCGGCCATGACAGCGGCCGCTGCGTGACTCAGGTCTCCGTATCCTAAGAGCAAAGTCGTTAACTTGGAGTTCCCAGGCAGTCTAGTGACAGGCCTGCCGCCGATAAGACACAATAAGACTAAACGAGCGTTCACTATCTTTCCGGATAGGTAATGCGTGCAAGAATATAATTGTGACGAACCGAATTATAATTTCGCAATACCCCGCAGTTGCTTACTCCTCACTTATCAATAGTCACCAAAGTTGGTCAAAATTGCTATAAATGGCAGATGGACAGGAAAATTACAGCTCTGGGAGTCAATTCTGCACCGTAATGAAGAAGGGCTGGACAACATTGCAGTCAAGGCCTAAGTGATGATGGTATCAGCCGCATCCCTTCCTCAATTGCTCGGTGACTTGTATCACTACCCGGTAAGCGGGTAATGCCCGCAGGCGATGAGCTCTAATAAATGGAAAAGACCGCATAGAGTCGGCAAATCCCCATGTGATCATTTGTGCCGATGCTGCAGATCATATGAAACTCCATAGATCATGACCCACCGAATAAGCAGAATTAAGCAGCAACCCGGGGTTTAGTGGGACAGCACCAGCGTGCAAGGGATTGTCAGTTGGGATAAAAGTAACGTTCAGTTAAGAGGAATCATGGGTGGATTAATTGGAGGCGGCAATATCGAGACATACAATTTTACATAAACCTTGTAAAGCGAAAAACTGAACCAAAGTTGCTGTCGTCAACATTTGTGCCCGTACAGGATGTATACACGACACTGAATAGCCAAGACAGGGAGATCAACTCTGACTCACCAGTAGTTAGGATACAACACATTGGTCGAAGGCTAGATACTACGTATCTGTAGGCGGCCTCGAAGTATCACATCTCGCAAGAAAAGGTTGGTGGTTGCGAAGCGTCGGCATGATCTACTGGGATACTACTTATTGAACAACCCCCTCGCGGAGCCAGCTGGGTGATTCGGGATCTTTCCTGTGCCAGCAAACAACTCATCGGCACTGTTCTAGGATGTGGTGGGTTTTCACGTAGCAAGCGTAATCCCTATAAAATGCCACAAATGTCTGTTTAACAACATTGTCCCTTGCTTTCCTCGGGTGGAGCACTGATTTCAAGCAGTGATGTAATTGTGGGGAAGATTGGGCCCCTGCTTGGCAACTGACCATAAGAAAGATGTGTGAACCGGGAGACCGGTTACGGGGCCCCAATAGGCGGGATTCCCTGAGTTCGCCTCGCTGACTTGCGAATGGGCTGTTGAACCAAAGGCTCAGGGTGGGGTCACCCAAGTTTACTCCCTACTTCGGCTTGGCCAACCGTGTAGATGGTGTCATCTGCCAAAAGTACGGATTACATTGCTATTTCGCTACACTTTCTCGTTCCTGCCTCCGTCGCCTTCTACTTAACTCCACATCAACCATTATTCTGTTATTATTTCATATTACCCTCAAGTTAATCCAGATGCTAGTTTCGCTACCGCTCAGTACGTCTAGCCTGAGGCTATCCTTCGACCCCAGACCTGGTTTCGGCTGGAGGCCTTTGGTGTTCGGACACTTATACAGAGTGGGCAACAGGCCGATCTGGCACGTACTCTGAGTTCCCTCACTAGTAATGTCTACTGCCTTTCTGAAACACGGTTGCAAGACCCAAACACTGTGCTTAAATTGACATGGACCAACAAGGAAGCCACATACAACCGGGAGGAGCAGACTGGTTTTCGCTAAGATCCGGGATGTGTGGACCAAACATTCACATTTCGTCAGTTCCTCGAACATCGTCATCTCTATAGCAAACCCATCGTCGTCGTTTTCCCGGACATTCGAGTTGCATTCGACTCAGTAAATCGATCTACTTTATGGTGATGCCTGCTAGAGTACCCGGAAAATAAGTCACTATAATTCAAGCACCACACTTCCATACTTCAGACAGAGTGACAACCTACGGCAAACTTTATGCATTTTCCTGCCACCAGTGGTGTGTGACATGGATGCTTTATGTTTCCGTTTTTCTGTAACTTTGCGATTGAAGACGTCCTCTTGGCTGCTTTAGAAGGGCTAGGGAATTTCGGCATCGAGCTCCTCCCAGATGATCCTGCATTGGACGTAGATTACGCTGACTATATCGCCTTGCTGTGTGATGACCCTTATTTCATGCAAATGGTCCTTGAAGTGTAAATGTATGGTATGTGCTTTGCTCCCTCCAAGTGTAAAGTGCTGGTACAGGATTCATCATCATCATTATACACGTCAGCTAGAGGTGAGAAACACCTCAGCTACTATGCCGCAATACATAAATGAAAAAGGAAAATAAATACAAAAGTTGCATGCCAGCTGAGCTACCAGCAACGGATAGGCATCGTTCCGGTAAGCTACCAGCCGGCTACTAGGCAAGAAGAAAAAATTATGTTTTACGCTAAGAAATGAGATCGTAGGTGGAGGGGGAGGCTAAAAGGGGTGAGGAGGGACAAAGAAACTCACAGCAGGAACGCCACTGAGGTCGGCTCATTGCCATGTCAGCAAGTGTATCCAGCCAAACGTGGTCACCGTCTTTTGGACCCCAACCAGACCAGTCGGATTTTGCCAAATTGAGGCATTTGTGGCGGCGTCGCGACATTTCGCTCACGTTAAAGGGCATGGTGTACAATACCATTGCCCGCGCGGTATGGATGCAAATCCTGGCCGCTCTGTGTAGATGACATGCGTAAGCTTTCGGCTTTAGAAAGCGGCTGTTTGCGGGGATCGTCCGTGTACGTTGGCAATGCCGAGTGGGCAGTGATGATGTTAGACACCGCGTTTTGGGCAAGACGGGTCTCCCCTTCCGTGAGGTAGTTTTGCTACGCCAACTGAGATGGGTTCGCCTTGTCCTGCACAGCCCTAATGAGAGTTTACTATGTCCCGTCCTATTTGCGCTCGCTTGGTCGCATTGGAAGAGGCCGCGCGTATACAAGCTGACCACTTGGTGACAAAGCATGAAAACACTGACATTTTGCCTAGACAGCGCTGGCGCAATACATCTATCCGGTTGTGAACCCAAGGGTGAAGCATGCGAGTCACACAATGCTATAGATAATTGTGCAAAACAGGATGCAACAGAAATAATCCATGCAAGTTTGCGTGATATCCCGATACTCAAAAGCAGTAACTCGTAAAAAAGTGCAAAATGGCGTGTGAAAAAATGTAAAAAATAGCGATATTCCTTGTTTTTCCTAATTAGTAGCTCTTTTTCCAATTGCTGTAAATTTAACCCGTGATAAGACTCAAAACCATTCAAAGCTGTGGAATTAGTAATCAAAGAAAAAGGGTTGGAATAAGAATCATTAGGGCGAAAGGGTAAAAGCTCAGTTCGCAAGGCATGCTGGTACGTATGATTGATCGAGGACTGGCATAACTTCTCCGTTGCTAACTGAAAAAGACGCTTGGTACACCTTCCCGCAAAGCTCATGGGAAAACGACAGCGTATCAACGCAGGTATTCTAGAACGAGCAACTATCCAAGATGGAACGTCTCTACTTGTAACTGTGGCAAGATGGTTTTTTGGGTCCATCGCTGCTCAGTTATAGGGGACGCCAAGCGGTACTTTGGCGCCCACTTCCTGAAAACAGTGTTGGGCGCACAGTCGCAATAGACGGTCGGAGTTAAGTCCATACTTGCCACCTACCTCAGACCACCTAATTACGAATTCATTTCCTTCGCAGAAGTAATCAGATCAGAACTGTGACTCGTGTGTATCTGTAGTAGGTGTCCTTGGCAGCATCAGGACTGCAATCGGTAGGCAACCACACATAAACAGCGTCCAGCACTACTTTGTAAACCAACCTTAGCTGAGGTCGTTAAACGGGATGCACACGAACGGTTGCTCACGGGAACCCAACCAACCATCGACGACGTAGTGTTGGAGTTGGGGACGATACCCATCCCAACTTGATCATTGATTGCTGCATCAGCGCCCTAGTATGTATGTAATCAATATCGAGAGGGCAAGCCGGGTGCAGTTATTTAAATAACCACTTGAGGGTCATTGGTCCTGGTTTCTGACACGCAACAGGGTTCACTACTCTGGTTGCGTGCTGTGTGTGCGAATGCAGATTTGTGATCTACTTATCAGAGTGCGAGTGTTGAAAGACGGAAGGGAAATGGGACACCGTGGCCCGATAAAGGAGTGTTGTCGATAGAAGACCAGTGGTTGATGCGGGAAGGTAGCTGCAGATGGCAGAAATGCAGTGGTGTTGCTGTCAGTTAGGCTAGGAATTTTGGAAGGAAGATTAGTCATGGGGGTCGGGAGGGGTGGAAAAGGAGAGGAAAAGAAAGAAAAGGTGTGTCAGCAGTATCATGTTTTTACTTCTCCGTCCTGCCTTATGCAGCAGCTAAGTTGAACAAATTAA